AAATGTGGCATCCCAGGCCAAATTTCATTACAGGCTTAGTGGTTAAGGAAGTGGACTTGGGTTCGGAATGCTTCAGGTTCAAGTCCACCAGCTGCCAAGTTACCACTGAGGTGCTCTGAGCATGACACCGTCCCCACTCACTGCTCAAAAAGCTGCCTACTGTTCACTTTGGTAATCGGTTAAAAGCAGAGGTCACATTTGGTTGTGTGCAGTGGTGTGCTGTGTCACAATGAAAAGGCGTTCACTTTCCAAAAGGAATGGGTCTGAATCTGAGTTCAAGTCACTGATGAAAGGTTTACGTTAAAAAGTACTCATGTCCTGAATTTATTGTATCGAGAAAACATATCAAAGTTCAGTTAATTACAAAAGGCTTCGTTTTCCATTATTTTCATCAAGCCCACACAAGGGATTTATCATGATTTCCAGATTTTTTCATTTCATCTCTGTTGCTCCGTCAACTAATTGAACAAAGTTCTAACAATGTAAAAAGGCAGATTGGATGATGACATCAATGCTCAATCGTTTCCTAAATTGCTGAGCAGACAAATCAACACAGATGTCTTTCTTGCTGAGTAGCTGTAATGCATCAGAACATCCTTGGAGACCTGCAGCGGAAGATCATCCTCAGTGTGAACCTGCTGTTCACATTTTGTTTCATTGTGGAAGCAGAGATAAGAGTGGGCAGTGTTTGACCTCCAGAAGAGACAGAGTAAAGACAGCGGGGGTTAGAAAAGGACCATCAGGTCCAGATGAGGAGGAAGGACATGGTCATTTGAAAACTAACAATATATAAAGTCTGCAAATCCAACAGTTTATCCTGAAAATCCTTTAATCCCCTGCAGGATGTTTGAGTCTTTCTTACTTGGTTTTGCTTTAATTACTTCACGTCCTTTAATTATTTTTGTTGATATCTTTACTTTGTAATTAGTTATAGTAACACTCTCTGCTTTTACTTCCTACACTTGTTTGTGCGTTTTATAATACCCACATCTGGTTCCAATCGATTTGACGTGTGCGTCCTAATCTACTTTCATCCCTCTAAATGCTGTTTCTGTGTTTACCTTAATCACTGGTTTGTCTTTTCTGTTCATTTAAATATCATCCTGCCATGTGACTTAAACCCCCTAATTCTGGACTTTTTACTCAGTTAAGTTTTTTATTTTTTTTATTTTAACAAGTTCCCTCTGGTACTCGTGTGTATTTGTACCAACAGACAAACATATGTACCATAACAAGCCGGTCAGGGTATGATTTTGTCCTCATCACTGTGTTTGATATAGAGATCACTACATTTGTTCAGAGTGGAGACCAGCAGTGACCCTAGCCAGTCCCATAGAACTACTGCTCCATTAGGTCCCTGCTTCTTAGGAGTTGCTCCTTCTTATCCCTTTATTCAGGAGGAACATCCTCACAGCTGTCTCGTCCTAGTGTCTCCTTTAGTGTCCCCATCAAAGCTGAGCAGAGGAGAAGTTTTAGACTTTGGTGGAAAAGGTCAGGCAAACAAAAACATCCGGTTCAGTTCAGAATAGTTCCACCACAGCCTGGTGCAGCTGTGGTGCAGAGACGTTAACGTTACTGTACAGCTGCAGTGATACCAGGGGTCATAACATTTAACATTCCCTTTATAAACATGTACATCTGAAGAAGACTTAGACTTTCTTTATTGTCATTGCGCAGAAACAAAGTACAAAGCATGTGGGCCATGAGTAATTACTTGAAGTATGTCTATATAAATATGTATATAGGTAGTGCAGAACAGAAATTGTGCTAAATGTAAACTAATGGTAAATATACATGTAAATAGTTCAGAAGTGTGTTGAGATAAACTATAAGGTAAATATAAATAAAAATAAAAGAAGTACATCTAAAAAAATCTTAGTTTGTGTGAAAACTAAATACTACAGAAACAAGATACAGTAATTAACATTAATTAACACAAGTAAAACGTTTATTTATCTTCGGTCTTTCTTTTCTTATGACATCTTATACATTTTAAGGTCCACAAAATACATTTTTCTTTTATAAGAAACCATGTTTTGTAAACCTGTTTTATTGATGGAGGCTATGTAGCATCAAATCTAGAAAACAAAAGCAACGTTAGAGTGAGAGTCATCACACAGTCTGTTGGTGTTGTGCCACACACAATCAGGCACAGACACGCTGCTTTACTTAAGCCCCAGATGACAACATGTGGCACCCTGCTGATAGCACACAGAATTGACTGTCAGCAAATCAAAAAGATTATTTTACTGTGGCTCACATGGTGAATAACTAAGTCCCTCCCTCTTCGTCACCCTGCCTCCATCAGTTACATATTCACACAAGAGCAGTGCTGTAGCATAATGCTGCCGCTGCTGAATTCCACTTATTTAACACAATACAGTGCAAGACCAAACCCACCTACTATAAACTGGACCACCAGTTTCTTTACACAGTAATATCTCATTTAGACAGTGTAGAACAGAAATGGCCTCTGAATATGCAAAACACCAGCGCTAAC